CTAAAGACATAGCAAATTTCTAATAACAAAGACGTATGTATGTCAGGATACGGGTGAGTGCCGGGATGTGGGCTACAGCATGGGTGTGAGGAGATCGGCTGAGACAGTCAGTCCTCACCTTCCACTTTTTGTCTGCTGCTGCATTTGCCAGGCCAGATGGCTCACAGTTTCCAGGGATTCTCTTGTCTCTCTGCCTTCCATCCCACAGGACTGCTGGGATTTACACAAGGGCTACCACATCAGGCTTTATGTGGGTCTGAGGATCTGAGCTGGGTTCACACGAGTAGCAAACACTTTACCTGTTATCTCCTTGGCCCTAACAAAAGACATTTCACAGGTTTTAGAATGTGTTTTGATAGGCCCAGTTGGATGGGCTGTCATAGCTACTAAACTCATCATCAAAGCTTTAAGACTATGTGACTGTCTATCACTGGCATCAATACAAACTGACACACAAAACTTACATAATGTCCTTGTTATTAGATCAATGAAACTGTCCTATGAGATGGGTGCAGACTACAGCAGTGGTGATGTGTGCTTACCATGTACAGTGTCCCATGTTCAATCCCTAGCACAAAGAAAGCAAAGGAAGAAAGTGGAAAATAGGGACCTTAACTCTTCCATGCTGAGCACCCTCGCCCCAGGACAGTCCTCCCTCAGGCACTGCCAGTGCTGCCCAGAGACGTCCACAGTGCACTATAGAAAAAGGCCCAGAGACATCCACAGTGCACTATAGAAAAAGGCCCCAGACATCCACAGTGCACTATAGAAAAAGGCCCAGAGACATCCACAGTGCACTATAGAAAAAGGCTCCAGAGGGCCCATCTTCCAGCAACTGCTGCCTTTCCATTGCAGATTCCTCATCAACCAAGCTAGTACCATGTTGAGTAGATTGGAGGAAAGCCAGTTTTCAGAAGGAAAACATATAGACAGTATCAAAAACTAAATACTCAAAGGCCCTGACTCATTAGGCATAACCGTCAGATATTTAAAAAAGATAAAGAAAAAAATCTTGACACATTTTTAAATTAAATTTATTTCTTTATTGTGTGTATACAATGCCACAGCTAATGTGGGGGTAAAGGGCAACTTGCAGAAGTCAGTTCTCGTCTTCTACCTTGTGGGATTTGGGATTGAACTCAGGTTGTCAGGTTTGGTGGCAAGCACCTTTCTTTAACTGCTGAGCCATCTCTCTGGCCCAACTTTAAAATTTTAAGATAAGAAACATGTCAACATGCATAAAATTATATAATGCCAGATACAGAAGTACTTTAACAATTTATACATAAAATGTATGTATAGAAAGTAGATTCAAAAGTGGGGCAAAGAACTTAAAGAAGAAATTTCTCCAAAGAAAACACAAATGGTAAATAAACCCAGGAAAAGATGTTCAACATGCACTAGAGAAATGCAATTAAAACTACAAAAGGCCATCTCACACCCATCAGGATAACAATTAACAAACAACAACACAGCAAACTGGTGCTAGGAGTGTGGCTCAGTGGTTAGTGCTCGCCTGCTGTTCCCAAAGCTCTGGGCAACCAAACACCCAAAAGTCAGATGTTGAGAAGTTGAAAACCTGGAGGACAGCACTGCCACTGTGGACAAACGGGATAATGGTTCTTTAAAATGTAATTAACAATCTACTTCTGAGACTATATCAGAGCCTCACATAGCCACACTCATATTCATGGCCACATTAGTCACAATAGCCAAAAGTCAGAAGGAACCAAGTGTTCAGCAATGGGTAGATGAACAAAACACAGGGCATATATAGGATGGAGCTTTATTAGACTTAAAAATCTGGAAACGCTGAGGCAAGCTAAAGTATGGATGAAATTTTATTAAGTGAAATGAGCCAATCACAAAAAGATAAATGTTTTATTCCACTTATATGGGATATCTAAAATTGCCACCTTCATACACACAGAAAGTAAAATGTGGTTGCTGGGAAGAGTTTAATGTTTAAAAAGGCAGTCTGCTAGCCCAGGGGTCAGTGTGTGGAAGGGGATGTATGGGGTCCATGGCTAACAAAAGGGAGAGGATGACGAAGGCAGAAGCGGGGACTGAGAGAATGTGAGGTGGAGTTGGGTAAGGACCAGACATTGCGGCGATTACAAAGGGAGCCCACCTGACTCCTGTTGTCTTATCCTACTGAGCACACATAAAATGTCACCTGAGAAGGCTTTACTCTACCAGAGGGTGGGCCAAACAACTTATACAGGCCTTTAGGATGACAGGATTAACCTGAGCAGAAATTACCTTACACATACAGTGCACTGACAATCCACACTAATCTCTCCTCAGGAGGGAGGAAGGGCCTGTCTATAGCTTGACACATCAGGATGACACATGGATGATATCATTCCAGAGAAAGGCCCACGACAATAAAATCATCTGGGGTAGGGCTGCTCCAAATCCACTTCATGGCTCCGTAAAGCAAGAGCTCTGTCAATGAGCTACACCCCTGCCTAGTGGTTTTCAAGATTCTGAATATACTACAGCTATCCTTCCTCAACCCCACATCTCCCTGGAAAGACTTGGAATTAGAAGCTTCTCCACCCTCTTCCCATGCTCCCGAGGCATGTCCAAAGAACCACAGACCACCACAGAAACAGGACTTTTCAACCACAGGCCAGTCACCACAGACTGCCTTCTGCAGAAAGCTCCCAGAAACCATAGCTAAACAGCAGGGGCTGACAAATGGACAAGGGCTGCAGCAGGCTAAGCTACCTGGCATCCTCTCAGCCATGGAACACTTAGCAACCTTTGTGGACAGGCCTGTGGACGCTTTGCACCAAATGACGGTCCAGCCCAGAGTTTGTTCATTCTCTCGGTCTCCACCATCAACTTTTTCTATACGCAGCACACTTCACTTTATACAAGATCTGAACAGAACTTAAGACACATGGACACAACACGGCTAATCCACCCAATCTTACCTGTCAACCATTATGAGGCCACACCACCACATCAGGACATCAAGTCCCCGTTTTACTACTCAATTCCTTGTCACCTCTGCCACCAAACAACCATCTGTGTGTGGGGGGACGACAAATCATCTATCCATATTCCTAACAAAGATAGCTGAATGTACATGGGTTTCTTTTTTTTTTTTTTTTTTTTTTTTTGGTTTTACAAGACAGGGTTTCTCTGTATTGTTTTGGAGGCTGTCGGTCCAGCCCTGCCTCAAACTAACAGAGATCTCCGCCTGCTTCTGCCTCCCGAGTGGTGGGATTAAGGGCGAGCGCCATCACTGCCCGGCTGTACATGGGTTTCTAATGAGGTACCTTTAAACTAAGTATCTGAAACTTAACAAAACCAAAACCAAAAATATCTGCAGTAGCTCCCAGGTATGCTACAGCTCTTCGAGGAGGAAGACAGACAGTACGATCAGGAGATCTAGTATGGTCAGTGTGGTATGTCCACAAAGCATCTCGAGTTGTCACAGAAACCTCACCTCATTCCCAAAGGGCTTGGAGAGGTCTGCTCAGCCTGGCTGCTCGGTGAGCTAATCCAGAGCTCCGAGGAGAGCCTCTCTACTGTGGGTCGATACTTTTGATAGCCATTTCAATACGGCTGGTTCTCTGTTTGACCCTGAGAAAGTTACAGCACCCTTTGAACTTTGGCAATTTTCCCCCCTCTGAACAGTTCTAGTTTTAACAACAACCGATCAAAATCAAGCTTGTAACTGAATGTTACTACTCCTGTAGTGACTTTGTTTCCACAATTCACAATAAGGACTTTCCTAAAGTTAGGGTACAAAACCAAAGAAACCGAACTAAACGTGAAACCTGACTCACAGACTGTGGGGATCGAGCTACCCTTCCAGCCATGCTTTCTCCTCTCTTAAGTCGCCTCCACTCCCGGTGCCCTGGTGGCAAAGTTTGCCAGGAACTTCAGCAGCACCTCACACAAAGGTGGATCTTAAGACTCAACGCTCCTATAGCAGCGGGATGCAACACATGCCCCAGGCTGAGAGCATCTGCTGACTCCTGCATCACCCAGACCCCAACCTGAGCAACAAAGTGTGCTAGCATCGCGTTCCCGCCTCAGTCAAACCTTCCTCGGAGTATTTAGAGAAAGCTCATTTTTCAAATGCCAAAGACAGGAGGCCTGCACAGAGGCGGGTTCTTCCATCCTTTAGTGGAAAGCAATTACAAGTAAAACAAAACAAACAACAAACACCAGTCACTTCTGGAAGAAGCTTCCGTGGCGAGGCCGACACCTATGTCTCAGCTATCCAGAACCCCAGGCGTGAGCGCAAACGTGGGCCCCGCGGCCCGCGCTCCCGGGTGGAGTGGCGGGACCGACGGCGCAGGGCCGCGGTCGGAGGAGCCCGGAGCCCCGGGGTCGGCGGGCTCCGTCCTCCTCATCTGCACCGCTTCCCTTCGCAGGAAGACACGGAGCAGGAACAGCGGGCCGAGCGCTCCCTAAGAAGCGATTCCCGGTGGGCCGTGGACACGCGCGGCACGCTGTCACCGTCCCCGTCCGCGGACTCCCGCGGGGAGCCCCACGATGGCTCGGGCCGCCCCTCAGGGCCGCGGACCCCGCCGCCATCTTCCTGCCTCGCCGCCCCCGGCCCTCGGCCCGCGCGCCCCCGCCGGCCCGCGCGCCCCCGCCGCCCGCGCGCCGCGCTCCGTGAGCGACGGTTAGGCGCGCGCCTCGAGCGGGGCCCAGCGCGGAGGCCCTGCCGCCTTCCAGAAATTTCCGCGCCCCTGAACCCACACAGGAAAACAAGCCGGGCGCGCCCCCGCGCCGCGGCCGCAGCGGCGCCCCCTTCCCCCATCGGCGCTCCCCTCCCCCGCCCCCGCCCCCGCCCCGGGCGCGGGTCAAGTGCGGCCCCGGGCACCGCCCGCCCGACCACCCGCCCGGCCCGCGGCGGAAGAGGCAGCGGCGGAGGCGGCGGCGGCAGCGGCGGCCTCGGCCGGTGTGATTGATAGGGACGGCGGCGGCGAGAGCGGCGGCGGCGGCGGCGGAGCGGTTGAGTGACAGCTTACCTGGGTGCCAATCTTCATCACACTGACAAGCGGCTGCAGCAATCGGGACCCGCAGTGCCGCGCCCGCGTCCAACCGTCACGCCGACGCTGGGCCACGCGACACAGCCTCGCTCAATGGGAGGAGGGCGACGCCGACGCGCGCCGCATCAATATTCACCGCGGGGGCGGGGCCTACAGGCCCCGGGCCCCGCCCCCGCCCAGCGCGGCGGCGGGCACAGGGCGGGGCGGCGGCGGGCGGGGGCGAGGCAGGGGGCGGGGCGGGCGCAGGTGGGGCGGGGCAGAGACCGGTCCCGCCCCGCCGCGCTCCTTCAGCCGGGCCCCACCCAACGGCCCAGCCCCACCGCCAGTAGCTGCCCGCCCCGCCCCGGAGGCAGAGCTTACCATCTCATGACTATGCAACGAAGGCGTGGCTCAGATCGCTATAGACCACGCCCCCCTCTGCGCCCGCCTCCGCTGTTGGAGAGAGGATTGCCGAGCCGGCAGGAACCATCTGCGGCTCTGGCGGGGAGTACGGGCTGTACCATCTTTAGACCCGCGATTCTGGGCCGGCCCCAGCCCTTCTGCCTGTGCGGCGCCTAGCAATCCCGATTCTGGAGCTGGGGTAGGCGCGGGGGTCAGCGGGTGGTGCATCTTTGAGGACTGAGCGCCTGTGGTGTCTGCCCTGGGACCTGGCCCTAGGTGCGGTCTCCTGAGCGTCCCGCCACCCACTGACCATGATGTCTGGGAAGTGGCTACGGACTGGCCGCTGGCCCCCTCGGCCTCCCTCCCAGGGGACTCAAGTGCACCCCAACTCCAGGCAAATAGCTTGCCCTTCCTTAGGAGGACTGGAAAACGTCTCTAGTTGGAGCTCTGCCTAACCAGATCATCTGCAGCCGCGTACCCCACGGGCTCCGCGGCTTCACTGAAAGACCGAGATGGAGGCCCTCAATTTGCCTGGCTTGTCTAGGTTCATTTATTTTATTAAGCAGTGGCCACCTGTGTGTGTGTGATCATTGCTTTGCATCCACCTACAGCATAAAGAAAGCGGTTCTGCTAACCCCACACTCCGCAGGAGGAACCTTGTACGCGAAGACCTGGCGGCTGGAAATGCAATGAGGTAGACCCAGCATTCACAGCTCAGAGGACTTTCCTGTGTCCTCAGGGCTCCACAGACACCGGGAAGCAAGAGCATCGCGCCCTTTGTAGCTACGGTTCGGTTCATGGAACCCATGTGGAAAGAGGGAACAAGCTACCAACACACATGTGTGGTGTGCATACACATTTACACACAAAATAACTACAATAATAGAATCTGGAAAAAAGTGAGTTTGGGGGCGCTGAAGATGTATCACTCAGTGAATAGAGTGCTTGCCTCGCATACACAAAGCCCGAGGTTGAATCCCCAGCACACGCAATTCCCTGGGTGATACACCTGCCGTCCCAGTTATTGGGAAGTAGAAGCAGGGGGGTCAGAAAAACCATCCTTGGCTACATACTGGATTCCTGGCCGTCATGGAATACATGAAGCCAAGAAAACAAAAAGATGCTAAGAATTTCAAGGTATCAACAAGGGGTCAAGGGGAGGTGTCCTGGTTCGCTTTGGGTCACTGATAAAGCACTGACCAAAACACCTGGGAGAGGAAAGCGCTTATTTCCACATTATGCTGTCTTTGAGGGACGTCAAGGCAGGAACTGAAGCAGAGACCACAAAGGACCACTGCTTACTGACTTGCTCTCCATGGCTTGATCAGCTTGCTTTGTTAAACAACCCAGGACCACCTGCCCAAGGCTGCCCCCCCCACAATAATCTGTGTCCTCCCACATCAATCAGCAACTAGGAAAAAGTCCCGCAGATATTCCCAAGGCAAATACGATGGAGGCAATTCTTCATTTAAAGTATTGGCTTCCCAGGTGACTCTAGTTTGTCAGAGTAACAAAAACTAACCATTGCAGAAAGTGAAAACCCTCTTAAACCGGGTCCTGTGCAGTGGCCGAGGCTAGTGTCCTAGGAAGAGGTGAAGGCACGGGCTGAAGTCTCCAGTTGTCTTCCACCCAGCCCACTGAAGCAGCTGAGTTTGTCAGGAGGTCTCCTTCCTCCCCCCTCCCCCTTTTCTTTGTTTTTTGTTTTGCTTTGTTTTTTTGAGACAGGGTTTCTCTGTGGCTTTGGAGGCTGTCCTGGAACTTGCTCTGTAGACCAGGTTGGCCTCAAACTCACAGAGATCCTCCTGCCTCTGCCTCCCTAGTGCTGGGATTAAAGGCACACGCCACTGATGCCCGGCATCCTTTTCCCCTTTTTACGATCCCTTTCCCCTAATACAAAATCCTCTACTTGAACTCTGTCACATGGTGTCTTTCTCTCTCTAATCACTTTTTAAAAATGACAACACTAGCCGGGCGGTGGTGGCGCACGCCTTTAATCCCAGCACTCGGGAGGCAGAGGCAGGCGGATCTCTGTGAGTTCGAGGCCGGGCTGGACCGATAGCCTCCAAAACAATACAGAGAAACCCTGTCTCGTAAAAACCAAAAAAAAAAAAAAAAAATGACAACACTAAAGTGTTTCTTTAATTCCAAGTCTCTTTATAGAGGCATACAAGTTTCCTAGGGACACCATAACTACCAAGCAATTTACTACCTGAGGGGGGGTCTCAAGGGTCAGACTCACACCCACACCCCCAGGCTCTGTGGGAAGGTCTGCCCCCTGCACCATAGCTTCCCTCAAGGTTTTGGCAGTGGGAGGTGCAGATGCCCAGATGCTTCACCCTGCTTGCATGTCCCGTGTGTGTTCAGCATCCAAGCTCTTCCTCTTGTGTAAGGACACGGGCCAGCCTGGACCAGTGCCCACCTAAGGATTTCATTTTAACTAGGTGATGGGCACTATTGAGAGCTACCCTGACATTGTTTTTCTTACCCCTATAATACACTTACTAAGCATTTTCATATATGGCCTGAATCATTGTGGCTGTTGGGGAAGCTCTGGGAATGCATTGTTGAACATGGCAGACCTAAAGCTAAAATTGTCATCAGAGTGCACCTATATAAGAGGTCCCTCTGTCTGCTAATTGGTGAATACTTATGACTGCCCTCTGTCCATATAACCTCTTTCACAGTGGGCTATGTCATTCATTGTGGTCTGAATCTGTGTCCCTTGGCCACTATCTCTTATTTCTTTTAGAATGACGCCTATGTTTCTTATCAACAATAACCCAAAATGTACACTTTGGCTTCATCCTGGTTCCTAACACCTGTATAATTTCCTTGGTAACAGGCACTGGGACGCATTTATTGTTGTCTTAGGGTTAATATTACTATGATGAAACACTATAACCCAAACAAGTTCAGGAGAAAGGGTTTATTCGACTTGCACTTCCCCGTATCACTGAGTCACCAAAGGAAGTGAGGACAGAAACTCAAGCAGGGCAGGAACCTGGAGGCAGGAGCTGAGGCAGAGTTCATGGAGGGGTGCTGCTTACTGGCTTGCTCCCCATGACTTGCTCAGCCTGCTTGCTTTTTTTTTTTTTTTTTTTTTTTTGAGACAGGGTTTTTCTGTATTGTTTTGGAGGCTGTCCTGGAACTCGCTCTGTAGACCAGGCTGGCCTCGAACTCACAGAGATCCTGCATCTGTCTCCAGAGTGCTGGGATTAAAGGCGTGCACCGCCAACACTTGCCTACAGACAGATCTTATGGAGGCATTTTTCTTAATCGAGGCTCCCTCCTTTGGAATGACTTGAGCTTGTGCCACATTAATTTAAAGCCAGCCAGCACATTATTCTGGTCCTTGTTCTCGGGCTCCCAGCCCTTTGAGATTTGCTGGGTGATAGGAGCATCTTTTGTCTTAATGGGGCAACTCTTGGTGGCTCCTAAATGCGGGAAGGCCACCAAAAAGACCAGCTCTGATTAGGGAGCCTAGAGCTTTCTGCCCTCTCCCCTCTTCCTCTGAGAAGGAAATGTGGTTTGAATGGGATGTCCCCATAGTCTCAAGCATTTGAATACTTGGTTCCCTATACATGGTATGGTTCTGTTTGTGAAGCTTAAAGAGGTATGGCCTTGCTGGAGAAAGAACATCACTAGAAGCAGGAGTGAGATTTAAAAAATCTCATGTGGGTTCCCCCTACCCCTCTTGACTTTGTGCTTATCGTTCAAGATGTGAGCTCTTGGCTTCCTGTTGTACCACCATGCCTGCCTGCTGCTTCCTGCCATGCTCTTCCCACTGTGATGGACTCTAACCCTCTGGAACCATAATCCCCAATAAACTCTACCTTCTATAAACTGCCTTGCTCATGGTGCTCTATCAGAGCAACAGAAAAGCAACAAACAGGAACTGCACGGTTCAGAGAACTTCCAGGTATGGGGGCTGTAGAGGGTAGTGACCCCTGAGGACATGGCAGCACATGCCCTTTCCCTGTACCTCAGAACCTCCCACACCTGGTTGGCTCTAAATTGTCCCCTTTAAAAATAAAAAGATACGTGTAAGTAAAACATCTTTCTGAGTTCTGTGAACACTTCTAGCAAATGGTAAAATATGCCCGGAGGAATTCAAATTCAAGTCACGAAAACCTCCAGCTTATAGTGAACCTATCAAGAACACCCATGCCAGTCAGGACCTGAAGCTATTGTCTGAAGTGGGGTCCATCCTGTAGGGGGTTCAGTCTCGGCCTATGGGATCTGATGTTCCGGGTGGAGCCAGGGTTGACTGAATCTCCCACCTGAGAAATCCACCAGATTAAAACCACGGATGTGCTCTAAGTGGAGGAGAAAACAGTTGGGTTGTTTTGCTGTGTTGTGCTCTCCCCGCTATGCACAATTCAACCTACACGGGATCAGAGGCATGAGGGAATTCCAGTCCGGAAACAGCTGTTCAGGAGGTACCAGGTCCTTGCTGCATGAGGACTCTATCAGCTGTCCATTCCCCACCCCAACCCCCACTCCATTCAGCAGGATCCCACTGATTAAAGGCGGTCCATACGTGGGCTCAGACCCTGGCACCAGAGTGACAGCATTTCTCAGCTGGTAACTGCTACAGTTTGGAGAACAGTCCTCAGAAGGCTGTGCATCAAAGACTTGGTCACTGGTCTGTGATGTTGGGAGGCGCTGGGGCCCTTAATAGGTGGAGCCTAGAGGGAGGAGTCAGCT